TTATTTATTTATTTATTTATTTATTTATTTATTTATTTATTTATTTATTTATTTATTTATTTATTTAGCCTTCCATAGAGGTGTAGGAAGGGACGTGGTGGCGCTGTGGGCTAAACCGCAGAAGCCTGTGCTGCAGGGTCAGAAGACCAAGCAGTCGTAAGATCGAATCCATGCGACAGAGTGAGCGCCCGTCGCCTGTCCCAGCTCCCGCCAACCTAGCAGTTCGAAAGCATGCAAATGCGAGTAGATAAATAGGTACCATCTCGGTGGGAAGGTAAACAGCGTTCCGTGTCTAAATCACACTGGCCATGTGACCACGGAAAGATTGTCTTCGGACAAACGCTGGCTCTATGGCTTGAAGAGCGGGATGAGCGCCGCCCCCTAGAGTCGGACACGACTGGACAAAAATTGTCAAGGGGAACCTTTACCTTTTTTAGAGGTGTAGGGCAATCATAATCCCCAGTATAATTAACCAAATGTCCTCAGATGCTGTCCTTTAGATCAGTGTTTTTCAGAAGCTGAATAAACTTGAATCCAAAACTAATTAGAGAAAACAGCTACTTGTCATTCCACTCTAAAATTGGTTTTGAATCCAATACATGAGGACTGGGGTTGGAATCAGGTTGTCATGCACGACTCTAACATGCTTGCCTGATGTCTTCATACTAGGCAGTATATTTGCAGAGAGGTCTGTGCATACCACTTTGCAAGCTGCATTCTGTTTTTATGATGTAGAATTATCTGTTTTAGAGTTAGAAACAGTGGTCTGTTGATAGCCCACACACTGAAACCAAGCAAGGCCAGCCCTGTCATTAATCAAAGTGAGGTGGTCACCTCAGGTGGCAGATGCAGTGTGATATGGAGAAAGCAGTGGTAGAAGCCACTACCCATTCCTCTCTATTGGAGCACAAACCTTTGTGTTCCAAGAAGCCTACCCCAGAGCTGTAAGCTGGTCTGTTGCCTTCAGGTGCAATGGAGGAGGGTGCCCCATCACAAATATTAAAGTCCATTCCTATAGAGCAGTAGTTCCCAACCTTGGATCCCCAGATGTTCTTGAGCTTCAACTCCTGGAAATCCTGGCCAGCACAGCTAGTGGTGAAGACTTCTCGGAGTTTTGGTCCAAGAACATTTAGTCCAAAAACCAATTTGACAACATTTTTACATAGTTTAATAACTAAAGAGGGCAGTTGGACCTTTTCACATGTTTTTATTAGCACATGTTAACTAAGAACAACTGCTAATTTCAGTTTGGTTGTTCATGTTGCAAATAATAAAATGTGTCAACGCTCATCTTATCTGTACTACTAGTCCATCAGAGACTGGATATTTGTATGTTAAAGATAAGAACAACTTAAGAGCTTTGCTGGATCATGGCCAAGTTCAGTGTGCCAAGCAGGATTTGATTGTCCCTTTGAAAAAACAATTTTATAATTTAGTTCTCTCTTTGCTAGAGAATAAGCTCTACTGTATGTCAACACTGCTCACTAGCCATTTTCCTTTTTTACAGACAGTCAGCGTCTTCGGATGGATCTCCAGAAGATGGACCTGTTAGAAGGCAAGATGATAGATGAACTGAATTCCCTGAAAGAAAAAAATGAACAAATGACTAAGGACTTAGAACTATACAATAATCTGCCAGCTCTGAAAGCAGCAGGAGAAGAAAAGAAAAAGGTAATTAACAATCAAAAACATGTTTCCAATATTTTCTTGAGACTCATTCATTTAATTCTTACAGGTAAACATTTTTACATACTTTCTTGAGCTTCCTTCACATTGAAGCTACACTCCTGTACACACAGTCCTGAAATTTAGCCCCAGTGAACTCAGTGAGGCTTACATCTGAAGAGCTATGCATAGGATTAGGCTACTTCTCCAAGGTGTTATTGCACATGGCTGAAGGAGATTCATGTTATTAGTTCCACTGCAGTCATTGTAATACTGAAATAGCTAAATCTGCCTTGCAGGGTAGCACTGTGAAGAGCTGACATTTAACTTTCTATTGATGTAGAAAGGGCCTTAAATATTAAATCAGATTAAAAACAGTATTTTTAAAAGAAAACCAGTGAGACAGTGTTCAAAGTGTTTTAGTTTTAAAACTGAAAAGATACGAAAATGTGTGTGATCTAAGAAATGTATGTATATAACTAGAAAGATATTGGGTAGTGTTCAGTGCTGGATTTACACTGGTAGAACAGTGAATTCCAACTCAGTAACGAGGAAGCAGCCTTTCTTTTCTAGTGCATTGCCCGTATATCTTATAATATAGCTGCAGATTTGGTCTTCCAGGAGCTCCAAGGGATGAAGAAGGGAGGGGAAGGAAGCTTCATTGTGCTCCCATTTCAGTGCCCACACACAGAATTTAGCCCTTAAGAAATAATTTAGAAGAAAAAGGAAGACTTGCCTCACTTACCTGAAAGTAAACTCTCTTGAAAGTGGTACTGCTTATCGTCAGTAAGCATGTTTCTATAATAATGATGTGCTAGCAAATTGATTCCAACACTTTCCAGGGTTTTCTAGTTATTAACTACTCAATTCAGAAATGATTTATCATTCCCTTTTTCTGTGGGGCAGGGTGGGCTGTGTAGCCACAGACTGTAGAGACTGCCTCTTCTCCTGGAGAATTGAACTCCCAGCCTCTGGCTCCACATCCAGATGTACAACTTACTGAGCTATCCAGAAGATGGCTGTAAATCAGTATTGCAGAAACATCTGCTAAGGTTGTTTACTCACTTCTCTGCCATCCATGTTTTACCTGCACCCGCTTGCCTATTCCTCCATATCATCAGGCTCCCCACTGCTGTGCTTTTTTCACATGAAAGTATATTATGATATTATCCCACTTGCGGATCTTTACCTTCATGGCAAGAACTGACTGTGAGGGCACTACCTTGTAGTGTTTTTCTAGTTCAGTAGTGCAGCTCTGCTTCTGTATTGGGCCTGTGCATGCTGTCTCTTCTGAATGGATCCCAGAAGGATCCTGGAAAAAGCTTGTAATAGAACTATGCTACTTGCTCCCCAAGCTTGCAAAAGCACCACAGATCCACTTCAGTGATTTCTACAATTTTTAGTGATACAGTATTTGGATTGCCTGTTCACATTGCTGAATGGTCAGCAGTTATTCTTTTCATGGATATTTTTCTAATAGTCCAGCTCTCCTGCCATTATATCTCACTTACAGCACTGGAACACTGCTGTAAGCATTGATTTTAGCTGTGCATTATTTGCAGAAGGTGCTTCATTATCTATTTGCCTTTTACTGCCTCAAACAAACAGCTTCAGGGGAAAAAGAAATGCGTAAGAGTGGATAGAGAATCAGTATTATGAACAGAAAGAGGGGGAAAATTAATCACATAAAAGTGTGTGATTTCCTTCCTTTATAAAATTAAAATAAACTAGTAAGCCTTTATGGGCAAATATGAATCTCTACTTTTCTATTCCCAAAGATAAATCAGCTTTAGAATCAAAATCCAGCATTTGTTATACCATTCTGATGTACAAATTAATTTCACATATGTGAGTTGTCTGGGTACCCTTTCTGCACAATCTTTTCAATACAGAATCATGTCACTTGTGCAGATGGTTGCTGGAAGCTTAGACTTATGTAGATTTCTTTTCTTTTGGATTTCCTTGCATTTTGAAAACAGACTGAGTTTTTTAAAGTCTAATGTTTATACTTTTATTATTTCCTTACACAAAGAAACTGCAAGAAGAGAAAGAAATGCTTACAAAGCGCAGAGATGCTTTCAAAAAAACTATGGAGCATCTGAATAAAGAATATGAAGGGCTGAAGCTGCAGCTCCAAGAGAATGAAACACATGCGCAGGTACAATTGAAAATATGTTTTACCTTGGGCTTAGCCTGTCCGCACCTTTAAAGAGGTACTTGGTGTATCCAGTCCATGCAGATACTGAATGGTATCAAAGTCTCTTTGGTACAGTTTTAGGACATAAACTGGAAAAATAACCACAAGCTATGAATCCAAGAGGGAATCCAAGAGGGAAAGGGAAAGCCCTTCTTCAAATACAAATCACAGTGGGCAGTTGTTGCTTTAGAATGACTATTGAATGACATTAAGCGCTGTCACTTTTGAACTGTAAAATGTTGGCTTAGGTAGAGCTATTTTGAAAGGTTCCTTGTAAATAGGTGCATCAGGTAAACAAACTGATAGTGTAAAATTTTTACTGTTAGGAAGCAGCCATCGGTATAATAACCACATTGCCTTCCTGTTGGTGCTGAAAATCTTGTCTCAATCCCAACATTTAACTTGCTTTCTTACAATCTTTTCAGCACAGTCCTGCTCTTATCACAACTTCTGGCATCAGACAGGAAACCTAGCTATGGAAATGAGGAAGTTTCTCCTTTTTAGTTTGGGGCCCAATGTAGTGTCAAGATATGTCATACGATAAGGCTTACATATTTGGAAAACAATTATTAACTAAAAGAAGTACAGACCATGAGAATTCAGTGTCTTTCATAAATCATAGTTTCATACTCTACTGTATTTAAAGTCCAGGTTCTCCCTGTTTACACTCCATACAACCAACTTTTGATTTTATTTATTTTTTAGTTGAAAAAATCGACACACTTCAATGGAGTCTTTGCTAGTTCTTTTAAATTTTGTATTGTTCTGATTAAACATTTGTCTAAATTTCTCCTGGTGTAACCAGTGAGATTTAAATGACGAGTTGTCTGCTCAGCTGTAGGCTGCAATACACTAGTGGAGCTTACTATCAGATAAAGAGGTACAGGATTGCAAACCTTTATCTTAACTACATGCACTTTGGAGAAAGCAACATAACAAAAAATAATGAAGTTTTTAAAATTGTTATTAATTAAGAGGGGTGCCTGAGTACTTATTTTTTGTCCCCCCCCCCCATTTTGTACTTTCAGCTTACAAATCTGGAAAGGAAGTGGCAGCACCATGAACAAAATAACTTTGTCATGAAAGAATGTATCCTTTTTGCTTTCATTTAAAAAAATGTGAAAATGGAAATAATCACAATAAATTATTTTTAAATCTTTAGTTTAAATGCTTCACAATTGTGTAAGGAGCGGGATGATAGAAGTAGAATAAATTTCACCTTCAGTGGGTAATCTTTAAAGTTATATGGCTTTAGTCCATCCTCTCAGCAAATCAGCTAAAGATTTGTTAGTATGAGGATTTTTAGTGATAAAAGTAGTCTTCTAGTACAGCGGTCCCCAACCTTTTTTGGTCCGTGGACCAGCTGGGTTAGGCGTGGCACCCCCCGTGCTCACACGCATGTGCGAACAAGCACGCACACTCACTCGCACAGGCACGGGCGCGTTCGGGCGCATGCACAAATGGTGGTGCAGTGCTTGTCTATGAGCACTCGTGCTCGTGCCCATGTGCAAACGCCGGCACGGCACTTCCACAGGCATGCTGGAGTGCACACGCAGTCGCATATGGGCTGTGCAGGGGTGAGTGCGTGTGGGGGGAGGCCTGTCTTGGTGGCCCGGTCCGGCTCAGGCCATGGACCGGGACTGGGCCACGGACCGGGGTTGGGGACCTCTGCTCTAGTACTTTGAATAAAGATGTGAGGTTATTTTGTATGAATATCCTATGTTGAACATAATTAGCCACTATTAATAAACTGTTGTTTGTACAGAAAATATTAATATGAATATTACGATCACTGTTAATATTTTATGCAGAAGCAACAAGTTGTTCTAAGTTGTGCAGGGATGTGTTTCTGAATGAATAGGGATAGCATTAGGTTATCAGTCATTCTGTATAACAGCGTAGGCAGTGTAGACTCCAACTGATTTCATTCTTTAGCTAAAGCAGATGTTGATATGCTGCCATATCAATCAATGTGCAATTAAGCAATTAGACTTCATTATTAGACATAAGTTGCAAATTGTGTAAGTCAACAGGGTACAGTGGTACCTCGACTTAAGAACTTAATCCGTATTGGGACTGCGTTCTTAAGCTGAGACATTCTTAAATCGAAGCACCATTTCCCATAGGAATGCATTGCAAACCATTTAATCCGTATCTCCTGTTTTTCATTCTTATGTCGAAGCACTGTTCTTAAGTCTTATGTTGGGACGTTCTCAAGTCGAGGTACCACTGTAGTTCACACCAATCTGATATTCAGATTTTTCCCTTGAAGCTTTGCACTGCAAAAGTGACAATGATTAGTGGGTAAAGGAGACCCTGACTATATAAAACAGCAGTATTGACAATTGTGTTGTCTCTGTTGTTATCTGGTGCCACAAAGTTTTTGTCTTCCTTAAAAAAAATTATTTTGTTTTCGGCTTGATATAACCAATCACTATCTATTTTGGGGCCATGTATAAATGTATAAGGATTTGCCATGTAATCTCACTCTTATGTCTGAGGAAGTGGACTTGATCCATGAAAATTCACATCAAAATATAGCAGTTAGTCTTTAAGATGCTACAGTTTTTTTGTTATTTTTATTTTTCTTCTGTTCTAAGCCTGATTTTCTTACCTGTAACTCTGATGTGTATTAGAGAACCTCCCTCCTTAACCTTCATAATTAGTTATAGCAACAAAAGGCCAAGAAAGTGATTACCGGCCCATAATGAAGAATGTGATGAAGCAAGTTGCAGAATACAACAAAACTCTCATTGAAGCTTTACAGAGCAGCAGGAGTTGAATCGTCTTTTATGTGTCAATGATACCTTTTGTCAGAATATTGCCTGAAGTTTTTCAAGAAGATTCTTGATACTGGAATACACACATATTATCATTACTATTCCATGCAAGCTAAAACTACATCCAAAGTGTGCCGTTCTAAATACAATCCTGTTGTCTTACGACAACTATTCATTTAAAGTATCTTAATGTACACAGTTTTAACCTTGCTAGTAAGCAATGTGATGTAATTTAAGTATTTTGAAATACAGGTTCTAGCTGGTAGTGTAAATGGAGATGTAAAGATATTGGAATATTTACTTCAACAACAGAAAATATTATATTTGTGCCTACAGTTTTATTAATTTACCTTTTTGTATAAGAATTCTATAAGGGAATGGGAACGTTGAATTGTCAATGTCAGCTATGTAGCAGATAGTTATAAAATAAAGATATTTGATGAGAACTCAACATTGTATTAGTACAAAGAATACTATATTATTCCCTTGACCTTGAGGGAGAACTCCTTATGCATAATAGCCTGCTTGTGTATAAAATCCCACTCATTAGTAAGTCTGACTCACAAACATGATGGCAGGAAATAGATATGTCTAGAAAGCCAGATATAAAAGATCAATAGCGTAGTCTGTTATTAAAATAGAAGGGGACATAATTAAAATTGCTTGATAAAAATGATAGAATTGTAAACATTGCTTTGAATGTTAAAAAAAAGCTAGAATGTTTGGAACTGCAGAGGTGTTGAAAATAATATAACTGTAGAAAAGCAGTGGCAAAAAAAATAAAAGGCATCATCCTGCTTAGTCAGATAAAAGGATGCTTGTTGGGGGTGGGGGATATGGCCACAGTCTGTTACAACAGAAGCAACACACACACATGCACTTGTACATATATAAATACACAGACAGAGTACATACACAGAGAGGGTATTGTGTGTGTAAACTGTTGTCAAAAAGAAATTAAATGCAGAAAGTGCTGCAATAATTATGTTAGAGAAACCAGTAATATAAACATCCTCATGTTGGTGAGTTAATTAATAGTGCAATTCTATGTACATTAATTTGTAGAAAAGTTGCATTTCATTCTGTTATTCTAACAAAAGTGCATAGGATTGCACCACTACACATGATAATTTTTAAAACTGCTCTAAGAAGCAACAAGGAAAAAAAAGACAAATCTTATAAGAACAGGAAGGGTGGAGATAGAGTGCTACCGGAATCAGCAAAAGGGTGGTGTTTTCACAAGAAAAAATCTTAACAGTTTTTTTACAAATCTGAAAAGACTAGAGGCAATTCAGTTTTTCTGTAAGACATGCAATTATTCATACAATACCAGGTGAGGTATACCATTTTGCCATATTATTTCTTTTTCAAAATCAAGACATTTTATTTTAAATAAGTTATTGCAGTGTTTGCTTTGTACAGTTCTTGAGTGTTAATGGGTTCTTCTTCGTTGCCTCTGTGAATCACACACTGGGTGATCTGCGCCTGCATGGAGCTTCATTGTAAAGTCCTAAAGCTTCTGCAGTAGCAAAAAACACATTAAAATAAGGCCTCTCTCCCCTCGTATAAGTACCTTGGTGCCAAGGCTCCCCTTTCAGTTTCTTTTTCAACTGCCGCGTTGAGAGTCTCATAGTTCTGCTTCTGTGAGTAAAAGAGAAAGAGAGTTTATTCTTGATTCCTTCCTGTTATCAATCTTTTTTCCTTTAAACTTTTAGATCAAATTCATTATCATCAGAGATTTTTTCTTTTCTAATTCGCTCGGCCTCTGGTTGCAGCACAATCATCATTTTTTCTCCTCATATTATTTCCTCCTATTCATGGCCCCTTTGGGCTCGTTTGAACCCTGTGTGGTCTGTGATAATAAAATATCACTCTCTGGTGGCCACACCAAGTGTCCTTTTTGCTTGGGAGAGGCACACCAGACGTCCTCCTGCCAGCACTGTATAAAGTTCCAGCATGGAGTCCTCCGTTCTCGTTTATCCAGATTAAAACTCCATCTTTGGGAACAATCCCTTCAACCAACCACAATGGCCCAACCTCCTTGTAAGGCCACCTCACAAGCCAAAGCAATGGACAAAGCTCTTTCTGAAACCTCAAAACAACGTCCATCAACCACACCGTCCCACTCCGATGCTCCATGCACTTCGTCTGAAACTTCAAAAACCCATAAATCGAAGCGCTTGATACCGAAATCCTCAATATCGAAGCCCTCCATTAAACGTCAAATGTCCACTGAAGCCTCTTCAGTTCAAGAGCCTTCTCTGCCTCAAAGACCTAAACAGCATAAATCTAAAGCTGTAGTCATCTCTCAGTAGTCTCAGCAAACCGCCAAATCAATCTCTATTGGTTCACCTTCTGACAATGACAGAATCCCCCCTCATCAACCCTGTTCCCAATCACCGGAATGGGATGACAGAGTTGATAAATTAACATCTTCTCCTCCCAGTCCTCAACACTCTGTTCTTTCGAGCAACCCTTCCATAGTTGCTTCACCTGACAAGGTCGACTCCAAACAACAACTAGATACCATACCTTCTTTGGTTACATCTAATTGTCCACCACGACCGCCTCAGAGACATCGGCCCCAACAGTCCCTGGAGCTGTTTATGTCATCATGTGTGGCTCAGATCCACGTTTAGCACTCTCACCAAGTTGCCATTTGCCCAGATCAGTGCTCGACCAGACAAACCGCAACTGCCAATCAGCCAGTTGCTCTATCAGCTCAGCCATACCTTCTCATGGTGGGTCTTGATCTCGACAGCCATTGGTGTCGAAACGGCCATATCACCATGACCCACATCAACTCCAACCTGCTCTCTACCTGGCACCTAAAAGACCCAAGACAGTCGAGCAATTTCCTTCTACACATGAGGCTTTTACAGCTCCACCCTCCCAATATTTTTCCATTAATCCAGATGAGGGAAATCATTCCTCTCACTTGGCACCTCCAGCGTCTATATCATAGGTTCCCAAAGTGGTCTATGTGGACCCCCAGAGGTCGATTTTGACTTGCAGGGGGTCCACATCAGAGAGAGAAAAAACGTCAATGTAAAGCGGATTCGTCGTAGAGCTGAGTAATGGTCCAGCGGGGCAGAACTGTATTAGGTAGGCAGGGGGTCTACAGAAAACAAGTCGGCAAGTGGTTTACAGGGCAAAAAAAGGTTTTGGAACCTATGGTCTATATACTCCACTGCTTTACAAGCTCGTCAGCAACCTCCATTTTGACATCACCGAGACACACACTGTGATATTGATGATCCTAGATATCCATCCTGGTCCATGGACACTCATTCTGTCCCTTTATCGACGCACAATTTCCATTGCCTGATAGAAGCAAGCCATCAAACTCAGCATCACTATGACCCGGCATTCAACCACATCAAACGCCATCCATGGGCACTCGGATGACATCTCTTGATATCGAAAATCCTCGACACTGACAAATGCCCATGGACATGGCGGCTCCATTGACATAGAGCCACAAATGCCAATACTATGACACTCTACCTATTGACACCAAAGTAGATCGACAAGCCGTTGATTCCCAATGCAATCCCAATTACTCCAGTCATGGATCCAGACCTCAGACGCCATCAGTATTACTTACCTCTCCGGAATCCAACCTTGTCGATGCCAACCCACCATCACCGGTGGAAGACTTCCAAACTTATGCCCAACTTATGATTCGTATGGCTAAGTCTCTCAATCTCCAAATTCATCGTCCTTTGACAGAACTGGCCAATCATATATACGACCCAATCTCTAAAGATACAACTAGTACACATTTCGATGCTTCCGTCTCTACTCAGCACTGCTCAATGATCCTGGACAAAACCAGCCTCTTCCCATACCATGTCTAAATGAATCGATAGCTTCTACAGAGTCCATGATCCTGGAGCTCTATTTCTTCAAAAACAACCAGCTCCAAACTCTTATTTTTGTCGAAGCCTCACAATCCAGATCTCGACATTGACAAACCCTCATGCCACCAAATAAAGACAGCAGTGGTATTGACTCAATGGGAAGATGGTTTTATTCATCAGCAGCGTTCACCATGCATGTCGCTAACCACCAGGGAGCCATGGGTGCATATCAACGTTTCCTTTGGGACAATATATCAACCTTTGTTGAATTTTCCCAGAAGATAAAAAAGTACTCACCCATACTTTTCAACATGGCATTTCTGTTGTTAAACAACAGATGCTTTCTGCTAGGCACACAGAAAAGTCAATGGCCACTTCAGTAGCCTTATCATGTTTCTCTTGGCTAAGGACAGCTGGCCTGGCTGAGGATGCCCATGCACATATCAAAGATCTTCCATTTGACGGGGCAGGCCTCTTTAATGCTGAGACTGATGATATTTTGGAAAACATGCAAAAGAAAAGATCAGCAGCTAGATGTTGGGGAATTTATCCATCTTACCAACAACACCCCCAATAAAATCAATGGAGACAACCGTACAACTCATATCAAAAATTCCAACATGATCCTCCAAAACCTCTGTGATTCACACATCCCTCCCATCCTCCCCATTATCACGCCATTCTGCTTAATGTAGCGGTGGTTGACACAACTGAAAGGGGAGCCTTGGCACCAAGGTACTTATATGAGGGTGGAGGGGCCTTATTCTAATGTGTTTTTTGCTACCACAGAAGCTCTAGAACTTTCTGATGAGGCTCCGCGCAGGCACAGATCACCCAGGGTGTGAATCACAGAGGTCCACTCAAAGAACTACAATTTCAGGTGGGTAACCTGTTGATACGTAAGTAGCTTAGTTATCAGTTATAATGTCAGGGTAATTAAATATTACCTAAAATAGAAAGAAAAACATAAAATGATGAGGAGTTGCTTATGGCTTGCCTCAGAGGATAATACAGAAAAGAAATTAAGGTTCTTACTGTTTGTTTATCCAGTGGCCAGAATCCTATTGGAGCCTGTACAGGATTTGCTTTGACTACTTGCAGCTAATTGGCAAGACACTTGGGTGCATCTTGTTTGTGCAGTTGTGTGTGACCAGGCATATGACTGAGATGTGCCTAGCAACTCCTCAATTAGCTGCAATTCACTGCAACATTACACATACATTACACTAATACTAATAGGAGTTTGACCTAGGTTCTTTTGTATTATTGTTCATCTGATCTCAAACTATTAGTGACCCCTGTTCTCTGTATTTCACTCCCCCTTGCCATTTAGATGATGGCCTATTGGTTGCCTTCTCATTGTGGAGCATAACATAATATGTCGTATGAAACATTGGCCAAAATGTGGTTGCTTAGCCTAGTAAATTGCACTAATGTGGGCCCATTGAATTAATGGGGATTTGCTGAGTCAGCTCCTCTATAAGTTCCATTGATTCACGTAAGTCACAAATTCAATTGGCCTAATCTAGTGTGACTTATTGTGCTTGGTAATAGTACTTGGGCCATTGTTGTGCTGTTTTCTT